TAAGCAAAAGAGGGCAAATACGAAGTAATGAGGATTAAAGCTAATTACCCACTCTTCTAATGCATGCGTGAAGAACACCGGATGGAAAAGTTCGAAACTTGAAATAAAATGATGTCGCCGGAAACTTGCCGGAAAATATGAGTAATAGAGCTCCTAACCCAAGCATAAAAAAAGAAAAAAGAGAAATAGAGAGGATTTTCCCAACTTAAAAGTTGGGAAATGAGAGTTGTTCCCAAAAATACAAAGCATAATGTCTTTTTATAGCTACACCACAAACACACACTAAAACACACACATTAAATGATAAAAACTCGCAGGATAGGTCGAATTCGCAGGATAGGTCCTTGATTTTCGCAGCTTGATACACCAAAACTCGCAGCTTAGGCATTTTCGCGGGATAGGGCTTCATTTTCGCGGGCTCGAAATGGTCCCATGACCTCTTGATGCTCGATTTGCTCTAACTTCTCGCACACAACTCCAATTCGCACGAAACTTGGACCCATATTCTCCTAATTGAATTCTCTTCTTCTCGGTATAGCTTGGGCGGGATTTTCCGGTTGGACGGCTCGGACGGCTCGTCTCCTCGTTCTCGCCAAGTTGGACCTATTCAACACTAAAACAAAAGACAAACGCGCAAAAATACGAAAACACTATACAATAACAAAAATACACAAAACACGATAAAATGGACCGGTCGACACTAAAACGAGCCTAAAAACTATAAAATAAAGCACACAAAATACACGAAAATAAGCACAAAAACACAATAAACAACTCTCCCACACTTAAACCTTTGCTTGTCCTCAAGCAAACAAAACAACAAGTAGTGTTGAAAGGAGAGATCGAGCGGTCCAAGATCAACAAACATGCATTATGTACTCTCCTAATCACTCGGTTATTTACAAAATAAAACTCAAACTCGAGAGCACGGTTCCCACATGTGAATCCAACAAAACAAAAACAAGTCCCAAGTTATTCAATCATGATTTACTCAATGCAAACTTCTTTTACAATAAATACGTGCAAAAAACTCAAAACGGTCTACTCAATATATAGTATAGTAAAATCGAGACCATAAGCCAACCCCCTTTTTTTTTCATCATTTTTTTTTTCATTCATTTTTTTTTTGATGAGTCACTTTTTCCAAATGGAAGCCGTTAGGATGATTATTACCTAGGTTTAACCTCGTGGGTTATTCTCGAGTCGCCTAGGACGGTTTCCCGTGCTCATTGACTCGATCTATCTACAAGATTAACCGAGCCAAGAGGAGCCTAATCCTTTCGACTCCACGAACTCATTTCGTGAGCTTCTCTTTCCAAACGAGGTTTCCGAACGAGATTCCCTAGGTTTAACCTCGAGGGATTTCCTCGAGTTTCCTAGACCGGTTTCCCGGGCTCATTATCCCAATCCACTAAGGGGTTCGGAATAAGAGGAGCCTAGTCCATACTTCCTCGCGACTCACTTTTTATTCTTTTTTTTTAGGGTGGCACACAAAGGTACATCACAAATACAATCATAATCATCAAAACTCAATCACGACGTACACAAAGTGTATAGCATAACACGTATAATCAACAATCGAACATAAGGCAAACATGATCAAGATCCTCAATCAAGAACGAACAAAGAACAAGAAAGTCTTGTGAATTCTCATCCAAGTTCCAATGCCAACAAATAATCATTTTATTTTATAAAAACCATCAAAATCATTGAGCACATAAAGCATGAGAGTTAATAATGAACACAAACGACAATCCAATCTAGCCACTTAGTCATTCCGAGCAATTGGACTCACACAATTCTCATATGGGGAAATCGACACAAAACACACAAAAAACAAACAAAACCGGTCCACGACACAACTAAACGAAAAGAAAATACGCCTAAAGCATGCATAATCACGCAAACCCCTCCCCCACACTTAAAACAAAGCAATGTCCTCATTGCTTGACCCAAAAAGCATAGAAAAGAGCACGTAATCACATAAGCTCAAACGTTCGACAAGATAAATGAATTATACAAATGAAAACAAAAAAGAAACACATAACACATAGAAAATAAAGAGAAAGAGAAAATAAAAAAGGGAAAAGAAAGCGCGCACTCAACTCGGTGGGGTCCCACCGTGTATCGAGGTGTTCGTCCGGTAGGAAGAGAGAGAAAATTTGGCCCGAAAGCTCAATATTTGGGCCTCGAACCCCTCTCGAATCAACGTACAACCACAAACTCAACCGCACACCCAATTACATAAAAAGATTTCAAAACGACTTGCCACAAGCATCGAGAGTAATAATGCGTGGATGGTCCATCCGAGCACCCAATCGAGCAACACAACGTCTTCCAACCAAAAGTAACAAAACGTTCATCCTCCATCAACAATCAACCAACCCAATACTCGAGCACCCAAATCAATTAATGAACCAAAAAAAAAAATCATCAAGTATAGCCAAGAGCAACAATCCCAACCTCCAAATCAACACCACATTCAATTAAAATCATAAATTCTTCAATTCAATCCCCAAATTAATCAATCAACTCAAATAGCAATTACTCAATCTCGAAATCTCCTTCATCAATTCAATCAATCAACATAAAATTCCCTATCTCCAAATCAACTACTAAGTTCAATAATACTTCCCCCAAACTCCAAACACCACCAATTACAATTTAAATCACAAGTTCTCCAATTTAATCTCCAAAACAATCACTCAACTCAAATAGCAATTACCAATCTCGAAATCCCCTTGTGTCCGAAAAGAAATGAAATCCCGGAAAAGAAGGTTGCTCGGTCACCAGAAGAATAAAACCATGCCTACCGGGAATACGAAAGCTCAAAGATGCGGGAATGAGGTTGAGGTCGCTGAAATCAGGCTGAGGGGGTCTAAATTTGGGGCTAAGAAGCATGAGGCCGCCGGAAATCACGAGTTGAGGGCGGTCAGAGGTTGGGTCGCCGTCGGGGCTGTGCACGGCGGTCGGATGTTGCAGCTAGGGTCGCCAAATGTGCAGTAGGGAAACCGTGGACGGAGCTTGAAATTGCTGTGAAAGGAGGTAGCAATTCGAGGTGGTCGCGCGACGGTTTGAAAGGGGTTGTGCGGTCACGGTGAGCTTGGTCTGAAAGCGGTCGCCGGAAGTTGCAGGTTAAGGTTGCGTGGTGGTCGGCGGGCGCGGACTTTCTGGTTGGACGGAGGCTCGCGACGGGTCGGCGGAGGAGGTCGCGGCTATGGTCGTTGAGCGATGGTCAGAGCTCCAAATCGTCGGCCAGGGTAGTGTCAGAAAAGATAAAATAAAAGGGGCGGTGCCGCCCTACATGCACCGCCCCATATGCCAAGTTTAATAAAATAAAAAAAAATGTTAATATATTGCAAATTGAATTGCAATTGATAAGATTTGAATCTGTCATTCGCCTATAAATAGGCATACTCGGCAGAAGGAGAAGAATACCAAAGAAGAAGAGATAAATAGAGGAAAGAAAAGATAGATTTATGTCCAAATATAGGATATAAAAAATATCAAAAGAGAGAAACAAGTGATATTTTTATTTGTTTTATGTT